AAGATTATGTAGACAAAATCAGTTTTTAAATATTTTTTTTTAATGTAATAAACTTATTTTTATTGATATTGTATTTTTTTTACCTATTAGTGAATAAGAAGGTATTTTTTCTGTACTGGTTTTTCGGTCATGTTTGATATTTTAGTGAAATAGATGATTAAATTTCGGGACGATCTAGGCCTAAGAGAAGACTATGAAAAAAGAAACTGTTTACGTTAAATGAACAAAAAGCATTAATTAATTTATCTATAACACAAAAGTACAATAAAAATATATCAGGAGTAGATATGCAGCATTTGGCTTGCAGATTAAGCCGGGTCCACAATTGTCGCAGGTCGCAGAACCAAAGCTTGCACGTCACGACGCGTCGCGGGGTGCTTTTGCTCAAGCTTATGTTCTGCGATCGAAGCCCTGCGACAATTGTAGACCCGGCTTTACAAAAGTAAGAGAAAAACAACTAGATGTTACAAAATGATTGCATACATTTTGTATTAATTTTGCTTCTACACTAAAAAAAATAGGCTGTTAAACAACAAAAAAATATTAATTCAACTCTTTATGCACTTTTAATTCAAGCAATGGTTTTTGCACGTTTACTTAACCATCCAAAAATGTCAAATTGTATTGTTTAATTGAACAACAGATATTAATCAAATGAACAAAATGAGAATATTTGTTCTAATCTGCTAATCTGGTTAATTAAACATTCTTGATATGTCAGAGTAATATTTCGAAAATGGTTGTGCTAACATTTGAGGCGTTTCTCGGAAAAACATCATTAGTCCAAAATCGTCGAAATTTAGATATTAGCACCAACTGTTTCCTAACCTCCATATATACGTATACAAATAAGTGTTTCTCGTAAAAATGCCATAGGTTCCATAATAATTAAATATGAAATTTAGCTTGTTCTTCTAAAAACATCACAAGTCCACTCTGTTTCGTCTAAGAAAGTCACATGTGCATAACATGTGACTTTCTGCATAAGATCTGCCAATACCAATTAAGAAAACAAACACTCTAGAAAAGCTTCTACCTCTTTTACATGACCACAGCAATAGAAAATTTTATGATAACTTGATAAAAGACCGGAAGACCATAGCACCTGACAGTCCTGATAACACGGTCGACAACGATGATAACAGCAGTGGATGCGAAGACTGAGTGTGGCAGTAATACAGTTTTTAGTTTTTTCATTTATTTTGTTACTCAGAGTTAATATTAAGTTTGTAGTAAGGACAATTGTTCGTTTTTTTCTTCTAAAAACCTCACATGTTCAAGTATTTTTTGTGTTTTTTTCATATTCGTTTGAAAAAAAAAAACATGAGGAATTCTGGACAAAGTATCTTAAATTTTTTTACATGTAGTGAATAGGTCAATAAAGTACTTTGGTCAAAAATGGGAATGTCGGAGAGTTTTTTTCATTTTCCCAAATATGTTAATTTTGGACTAATGATGTTTTTCCGAGAAACGCGTCATTTTTAAGATGTAAGGGTAAATTTCTTGAACTGTCCAGGTAACCTTTTTAGCATATTCACTTAACACCAATAAAATGTTAACTACTTCAAATACCTACCGACAGACAGCTGATTCAACCTATATTGGGGATCTTATCAGTCACTGATAAACAGTGTCGGCAATGTGGTGTATTGGAAGTTCCACTGTGGAACACACCGAAAACAAACAGCTACCTGAGCTTATATACTCCTATCGTAAGCCAACTTAGGCGAGATGTAAGAACATCACGTGATCAACACCGTCTAATGACGAAGTAAAATTTACAATTTGGTAAATGAACAAATTTAATGTTTTGGATTTAAAGAGCAACTAAACGTTAATTTAATAGTTTTTATAGGTAATCCCAAAAATTTCAGTATTTGATTCAACCAATTCCAGCTATTAAATCAAAATAGGATAAACATTTTAATTCAAAAAATTAGTTTATATCACAGACCACAGGTCTGTAGTTTATATTAAATCAATATTTTAACTGTCAAATGAACAAATAAACTTTGACAAACTATGACTATAATAGTAGGCAATAATTAGTTTATATTAAATCAATATTTTAACTGTCAAATGAACAAATAAACTTTGACAAACTCTGACTAAAATGGTAAGCAATAATTGCTTTGGTACCAAAATATAAATTAATCCAATAGGTTTTTTGATGAAACAACATTTTCAAAAATGACATTTAGGCAACTCAAGTACATTATTTTTTTCGGTGTAAACGCATTTTACTTTTATAACATTTATTTCAATAAAAAAGCTTACTTTGAAAACCAACCCTCTGAAAATTTGAAAAACAAACCCAAAGTCCATATACTTGAAAAATATTATTTATATGACAAAGGACACCAGATGAGAAAGCAGCGCAGGGTGTGTTATGAAAAGAAATTTCGCAATAATACCCATAATAATAATAATTTTTATGTTCCCAATTTGACAAACAGTATTTGTATAGGAATGTTCGGTAAATAGCACAATAAAAGACTTAAAGCTAACTTAAGGGCTAAACTAAAATAAAATGCATAGGTACAACTTAAATAAATATATATATGTTAATCTAATTACTGGTTTAAAAATTCAGATATAAACACAGAGACAATAAAAACTGCTTTAATTTGTTTTTAAATATATGTATTTTTTGGGTTTCTTTATAAAATGTCTCAAATTATTAAATGTTATTTGTTCTGCTAGTTTCAACCAACTAGGACTTTACCTCGGAAATTATTTTCGGATGTATCATAGCAAAAAAAGTTCCTTTAGCATTTTTTATACTTGAGCTTAAATTGCTCATTTTTTTAATTTGTAAAATATATTAAAAATAATGTATTTTAATAATAAATAAAAGTTTATGCATGCATTTTATGTTTACTTTTCATCAAAATATAAGTCATCGGCCTCTTCTTAAGAAATCAACTCTCAAAGGCCCGTGACTCGACGCTTGAGTCATAGTAGTTTTAGGTATAATGACTGAATAACTGATTTTGTTAAATATTTAATATAACACTAAGGAACACTTATTTTTTAAGTTTAACCCGTAACTGGTGAGGTGGGGTTTCCCAAACCCCACCCAGTCTAAGAATCTTTACCACCTGTGTAGCTTTCGGTCAGCTTTCCGTCAGTACTCTACCAGTGTCAAAAAAGCCCTATATTTTACTTAGTGTACGATATTACAATTTTTGTACGAATTGGGGTTTGTGTAACCCCACATCACCAGTTTTTTACTATAGTTAATAAAAATATGATTTTTTTAAAACTTTGAAGGTATGTTTTTTAAAGAATTTAAGAAACGTGTTTCGCTATTTTGTAGTTTTTTATTCTATATTTTCAGTTTGATTACTTATTGTTCTGTGGATTCCCACAGTAAAAGTTAATTATTGCCAACATTTTTGTTTTTTTTATTTTTGTTAAAAGTATGTACGCATTATAACCAATAAAGGTTACCCAAAAGTGAATAACATACGCGTTTTTTATTTTGATTTCGCAGAATCGCCGTTTTCCTTTGGGGTTTGGTAAACCCCACCTCACCAGTTAAGTAAAAAAAAGTGACCTCACCAGTTACGCGTTAAACAAAAAAATCCTGATATTCGGAAAAGCAATTAATCTGGTTTCGACAGCGAACGTACAACGAAAGAGTTGATTAGAAAATTGTATTTTAAGTAGTTATTTACCAATTTTCTGTTAAAGATTGTAGACAATTATCTACATAATTGTAATAAAATGTAAAGAACTTTTGTTTATACCCCCCAAAATGTGAAAAACAGTGTTTTGAGATTTAATAGGTACATATTTGTGTATTAAGAGCACAAATTGATACATTGCCGCTCTGAGCGAGAAGTTTGACGCTCGACGCGTAGAGGAGCGCGGCTATCTCGCGAGAGCGGCAATGTCACTTTGCGCTCGAATTACACACAGGAACCTATAAGAATGTTTGGTAAAAATTAATAATAATTGATAAGCTCGAATTTGACGTATGTTTCAAAAGTCGCAAATACACTAAACGTTTTTTTATTATGGTTTCCATGGTAACTAAGCGTGTGACAAAGTTACTTTGTCGCTCGGCGAGTGACAAAGTAAAAAAACGCTCGCTCCTCCGAAAAGCGCTTTCTTTTGGAAGCGCAAATTTGACCTTTTCGCTTGGTTGTAGAAAACAATTTTTTACGAGCTTATGATCTTTTTTGTTTTATTTTATTCTTTATTCTCAGTTTTTTTTTCTGCCTACGCGCATGCCAGGTGGTATGCCGGTAGGTTATTGAATTTTTTCAACCCACCGTAAAGCGTTGTTGGTAAAGAATATATGTAACAATATATTTTACGGGTCTTTTTAGATAAATGCATAAATAAATTGGTCAATACATGTATTGACCAATTTGTTTATGCATTCTAAAAAGACCCGTAGAATATATTGTTACATATATATATCTACATGCATGTATAGGGGAGACCGGAGAAAATTTAAAAATTATTCGCACAGCTCGCAAATAAAATTCTTGGTGGTCCCATTGCTCACAAATTATGCACTGGACTCAGTCTCCTCCAACTTTACTTTCTTTGTACGGAGTTTTACAATAAATACATAAATCATCCACGGTCCTGCTTGCCCCAATTTAAGTGGTCCTCATTACCTCAAATGTCGCTAGGCAGGAAATCACCTCGTAACATTTTTCCATGCAATAGCATTGGTAAACCAATAGGTAAGGTTTGAAGCACATTTAATATGGATCACTATTATAAACTGAGTTTTCTTAAATCCCCAGTAGTTTCTCAGGAATGGACAATATTGCGATGAAAAAGTTAGATCAACATACCATGAAATGTTGATTTCTTTGTAGCACAGCTGCTTATGGTCGGATGCCATTAACACAGCACTGACATGAAGTTTTGGCAACCTACTAACGTTAAATTTTGCGCCAAATTAAAACGTACTGTGCGGTAGACCGGTGGTCCTCGCTGCCCCGGTCTGCCCTATGTCTATTTAAATAAAATGTATATCTAGATAAAATGTATAATTTATGTTAAATTATCTAAACTTATAAGTAAAGCATAAAAATTATTATTATTTAAAATTGAAAAAAAATTCCATATAATTAAACTTAAGCATTTATTGTTTTTTCTTTCTTAAGCGTTTTTTTGTTACCACCAAAAGCAACTTTTTCTAATATAATAATAGGCGATTCGAATGATAAGGTCCAAATAAAAGCAAATATCACAGAAATAATAAAATATCCACACCATGTGTAGAACTAAAAAATAAAAATTAATGTTTAAAAATTTTTTTTTATATAATACCTGGCTCCAATCATTAAAATAAATTTTTCCTCTGGTAAAAGAAATATTGTGGATTAAAACAGTCATATGTAACAAATAAATGCAGTAACTCAATCTGCTACCAACTTGTAATATTGGTCGTGTTAAAATCCAATTTACGACGCCTTAAATAAATGAACTAAAATTTGTTAAATAAAACATGTATCATATTGTTTTACCTCCGTATCCATGAAAGCAAGAGTATACCATCCAGCCCAAACACATGGACCATAGTGGTGGCATGATGCCATTTAATATTTTTTTGGTATTTGAAGTCATATGGCCCATAAAAATATCAGCAGTTATGTAGACTATAGCGTACATGATTAATAAAGTCACGATCCATACGAGTAAATTCATAAAAGATCTCTAATGCTTCGGATTAGATATAATTTAAAAATTATTTTTTATTTTACTTACATTTTTCCTAAAAACAAAAGGTTTATCGATATTTTCTCTCATGAACGTTCCAAATATAAATCCAACAACATAGTTACACATACACGTATGGGTGCCATATGTACTAAAATATGAAGATAATTAAATTTGATTTTTTATCTACCATAATTTACTTAGTGTAATCTGGATATTTAAATGTTATAACAATAGGCAAAATAATAGTAACAATACAGAATCCAAAGAGTGACATCATAACAGCATTATATTTTTTGCCAATATAAGCAGCTGTTGGTATAAGAAATAAAGGGGACAGCCAAAACATCTGCATGTCCGCTGATAAGTACCATGTTTGGGCTAAACACTAAAATATGTAATACTCATAATTTAATTAACAAATTATAAAATACGTACAATATCAAGTTGATCGTAATTGTAATAATTTTGAAAATATAAAAAAAAAGACCAAGGATGGTTTTTACATATATTTCCATTTTGTACCATGGCTGCATAAAACATGGGACCAGATCCGAGATGTCTTATAATTGATATAGTTACCAAAAATACCATTGCTGCTGCTGGCGTTAATCTAAAATTATAAATTAATTCGCAATCAAGACGAAATGGAGCAATTAAAAAAAATTGTTTGATGTATTAAAATTAAAAAAATTATTTTTAACTTTATGGTGAGGGGAGACTGGAGAGGTTTGACACACTTAGCTTATAAGCAAGGATAATTTTTATAAATGATTGAAAATGGCAAAATTATATCAGAACATTTTTGACCAATGCTAAGAGGAATTGAATAAATTAAAAAAGTATATATAAATCTTATTGATTGTACAAAATCACGTTAAATCATTTTACACAAATAACATTATGTATACATAATGTTATTTGTGTAAAATGATTTAACGTGATTTTGTATACAAAACTATAGTTATGAAACTCAAGTTGCAAATCCACTTCAAAACGGGACCTAACATTTTTGCGTTGAATAGCAGTCATTTATTAATATTTTCGTTTCCTTTGACCTTGACTGGTTCATTTTAATCTTAAAAATGCAGAAGAAGTCAAGTTAGAACTCTTGAAACCCTATGTACTTAATTCACCCAAACTCTACGTGAAATAGACGAGTTTCAATAAATTAAGGTTCAGTTTTCAGTGTTCGCAACGCAATGGAAAAACACATTTATAATTATGACTAACCTTAAATATCTGTGTAAATAATTCATAGGAATAAATTTCACTTGCTGAACTATACCTTTGCCTTTAAATAACTTTAGGTAAGTAAAGGGTAGTAAAAATCCAGAAATAAAGAAAAAAGTGGTTACAGCCAGAGGAGCAGCAGTAATGTATTGGATGTATCTTTGTTTCATCCACTAAAAATTTAGAGTTTTATTAATATTTTATTAAATTTATTTTATAAATTACCACTAAAATATCTGCCATGTTAAATAAGGGAACAGCAATGTTTGTCCCGAAACCATGACCAGCGATTACCCACATCATACTAATAAATTTTAAGCCATGAAAAATTGGTATTTGTTCTTTTTCTTTAGGTCCAACGTGTACAAGCTTTTTGGTATTTGTATACAACGAAAATGCAATTAAATAACCTTTTTTAGCCACTAAAATATTTATTATGATTAAATTTATATTTTTATATTTAAAGAAATTAATTACATTTATTTTTTTCCTGTATAACATCGTAAGTAGTACTCACTATTATAAAAGCTAATATAATTACTAATAAAGATCTAAAAAACAAAATTAAAAAACAATCAACATATGCAGTTTATGAAATATAAGCCCGCAAAGCCCCATTATTTTGGAAAGCGTTGAGCGATTTTATTTCTTTTTTTTGGGACAGTACTCGATTTGACAATGTGGGAAAATTTTAAATTTAATTTTTTAAATCCTGCTAAGATCTGCTAAATGGGTCAAAATTTACTGATTGACCATCAGGTTTTTTTTAATATGAAAATAAGTCATGATGTTTTTACGTTTATACGTTTTTTTAAATTTCGTGGGGTTTCGTCAGATATATATCATGGCTCCAAGTCAAATAAATACTTTACCTTCTTTGTACGCATATTGGGTATAGAAAAGCAAAAAAATTAAGAATTTGCCATGCTGTGACAAACACATATAAGGTATTGAGCTCAAACTTTATGTAAAGGTACTTGGGGCACGTCTTAATAAAAAAAATGCCTAATGGTCGATCTCTAAATTTTTACCCATTTAGCAATCTTAGCAGTCCTTGTATTGGGAAAAAAATAAAACTTTCCCACATGGCCAACAAAAAATAGTAAAATCGGTCAACGCATTCCAAAATAATGGCGTGTTGCGGTCTTAAATCGCACACAATGTTATATACAGTAAATTAATTATACATACATCACGCATATATCGGCTGTGTCTAGTTCTTTTCCAGTATTTTTAGTAGTGCATATGGCATCATTAAAGTTAAAACTAATAACCCCGGGAACAGTAACCGCCTCAAAAAGCTTATTCAAATCATCCACTGTACACTTATTTGGTACACAATACCCAGCTTGTATTGCTGGTAGGGTTAAACTCTTAGGATCTTTTCCTGATATACTAATATTTTGGTTGAAAGAAAATAGATTTTCGAGCTAAATAATACAGTATTAATTATATTTATGACAAACGAATTAATAATTATTATAACCAATAAAATGTCAGTATGCCATAATTACACATTTTATCACAGCGACAATATTTTTTGTCTCACACTCACAGCTATTTTTTTTACACACAGTTGATACATACGTACATAAATATGATTTTAAACATTGTTTACATATTTGGAATTAAATTTTATAGTAAAAAGGTAATCCCAAATAGCATATAAAACTTAACCCATAATAAATAGCTTCATAATTTTCTTCAATATTAAATCATGGTTTTAGTGAGTCGGTTGCATATTATGCAATGCATAACGTCTCTTTGGAATTTAATTTGTAAAAACCAAATCTGTCAAATAATGTTTATAAAAGTTGTATTATTTGATTGTGAGACAAAATAATATGTGCAACTCGTAAAGAATAGTCAAATATAAACTTTCACTCTTGCAAGCTACGCTCGCGTTCCAATCGAATGCTCGTTTATAAACGGCTATTTTCTTCACTTGTTGCACAATATACCATTATTATCTTGTTTACACGTTACTAAGGATTTTCGTCGCTTTTCTTGATTTGTAAACTGATGTCAAACTGACAATTTGTATAACGCTAAAGAAGCATCGGATTTTCGCAACGCAAGCGTCATCTGGTGGCGCTCGATAGCTTATTGCCAGTACATGGACTTGTTGATTTGTCAACAATAATAATTTAAAGCATACAAACTTTGTGCATTTTAAAATAAATAAGTAGTTTTTTTACAAAAGAGAGGGAGGCAGAAATTTTGTTTGCAAAGTTTCAATTGCACAGGTTAACAGCTTTAAAATCTACAAACATTACTTGATTTAGCACTCGTTTTCGATTTATTATTCTTTATATGCTTTTATCTAAGTGATCATGGTGCATTATTGTATTTTTAGTTGTAAATGTAATTCAAGAACTAAACCAAAGTTGCATTTTCATTATTTGCCAAAGTACCCAATTCTTTGTTGGTGCAGCATTAACTAATAATGATGACTTTACCCAATATAATTTATACTTATTTATACTTATTTAAGTTTGTACATAACTTTAAAATTAAACATTTTTATATTTGGGTTCTTAAAAAAACGCCGACAACTGCATTTTGCAATAGTAAATGATAAAAAATATCTACGAATATTAAACAGTGGTGGTAATGCTTCTTTATTCCGTTTAAAAACAAAGACGCATGCAATAAAGATGCCATATAAGACGTGTGAGGAGGGGATTTTGTTATTGGAGTGGTGGGGCAGTCTGCCTAGGGCTGAACACTTGTCACGGAGTTAGACCAGGGAATGTGTTGAAACTAGTGGTGGTATTTTTGTCGTAAAATTTTAAATATTTTTAAATATGTTTCCAAGTGAGCCCTTACCAGCCAGAGCAACAATTCAAAATGTTGTTAATAATTTTGTGACATATGGCAGTGTCAACAAATGTACCCATAATAGAGAACCGCAAGCAAGGCCTGTTAACGAAGAGCGCGAATTACGAGTGCAAGCATTGAACAGGAACAGACCCAGTCAACCAAACAAGTTGCCGAACTGTTTGGCCTTTCACGGTCTTTGGTTGGAAAAATTTTGAGAAAGCATAGGTATCATCCATATAAATTAAAGAGAGGCAATGAGCAGTTTCCTGGTGATCAATACCGTCGCATGGAATTTTGCGAAACCATGGAAATGGCGAGTCGGGATGAAAAGTTTACCCAAAATATTATTTTTACTAATGAGTCGTCATTTACTTTACATTGTAGGCACAATTCCATGAACCAACGATATTGGTACAGGACAAATTTTATCCCGCCAACACCCAAAGACCTCAAAAATTAAACTGGGAGACCATATTATCGGTCCATTTTTTATAGATGAAACTTTAAATGGTCAAAGGTATCTTGAAGGTATCTTGAACTGCTGCAAAATCAAATTTTTCGCGCAAGTCGTGCTCTGCCTGTGCCATTTGAAGACGTGTGGTTTCAACAGGATGGATGTCCCTCACATAACATGTTGGTCAGAGAATATTTGCAAAACACTTTTCCAGAACGAATTATAAGTGGTCACGGAAATATTCTTTGGCCAGCAAGATCACCGGACTTGGCTCCATGTGATTTTTTTATGTGGGGATATGCGAAGTCGAAAATTAATAAATTAATTAATAAATAAATGGTGGAATTGTGCAGCACAAATTAACATTAAGTTAACATTAACATTAAAAAGTTAAGATGAATGTAATACAATGGAAGCATTTATGTTAAATTAATGTTAATGTTAATGTTAATGTTTTAATTTGGGCTGCATAATTCCACCATAAGAAATATAAACCCTAATATGCTGGCAATTGTCCGTCAAATTTTTTTTGACAGATTGACGTTTTGTTCGGCAGCGGTTGGGCAGCTATTTAAACATCTACTTTAAATTATTTTTTCTTTATCTTCTTTAGAATACTTTTTAATTTGAAACTATTTGTTTTTGTATTACCAGAATATTTATTTTCCACATTTTCTTAAAAATATTTACAAGCTATTTTGTTTTTACCAACAAAATCATAATAAAATCTTAACATTGTTTTATAACAACCGTCGTAATATAACTGACACCAAATAAAGGCAAATCTACAAACCTATCGAGTGGTTTAGTTAAAGAAGGGGAAGTTTTATATTTCATGCGTCTTTATTACTATTTGGCTATATAATATATAAAAAAAGTCCAAAAACGGGCATATATAGTATATATGCCCGTTTTTGGACTTTCACCGTTGAGTGATGACTTTCTCAATCAACGCTTTTAATAATTCATAAGCTGTTTGCATTTGTTTTATAATTTTTACTGAATTTAAATGTTTTCAATTTACACGTAAATCATTAATAAAATGTTTATTTATTGTATATAATGGGTATAATTGATATTTAATTTTTACATTCGGATTCCCACTATTTATTGGGAAACCAGTAAAAACTCATGAGTTGCAACTCCAGATTTCCTCTCAAAAAAACACCACAACACAACAAATTGTTCCACGGGTTTTTCCGATATTTATAACATTTTCTAGCTTTATTCTTAAAAATACTCGTATGTATCATACGCGTTTGACAGCTGCTTATTAAAAGCTGCATTTTTGTTACGATGATAACGGTCTCGTGCTAGAGACATTAGCGATGCTTTTTAGCGTACATCTTAAACATTTATTTTCTCGCTAAATATAACTCGTGGTATGATAATTATAATTATTAATAGATTATAATCGATGATATTTACTCATTGAAACAAAAGCAGCACTTTGTAGCTCGGTTTCAATTCGAAAATATCATTGATGATCATACCACTTATTATTTTATAAGTGATTAATATTTACTGATTATATCATACACCCTTGCTTGAAAGGCAACTTTCCGGCATGTTTAATTTTTCAGACAAAACTAAATATTTAAAATAAAAAGATAAAAATGTTTGATCCTAATTATTAAGATAAATAAAAAGCTACCTTAACATTTTTGATATTGGATCCTATAGGAATAGATACATCAGTTCTTACTCCGACACAGTGTTTTCCCAAAATATTAGTGTCTTCATTTGTAACATCTATTGCCACACACTCATCATATATACCGTATTCAATGGGAGTTGCATATATTAATCCAGGATAAATAATTTTTGAACTGGCATCAAACACTAAAAAAGGCATAATTTAAATAACTAAAGACGCCATAATAAAATATGTACACATTTGTTTAATATATAAAGTACAATACGAAACAATTTTAGCATTCACACTTACTTGTAAATCCAGTATTAAAATCCAAATTATTTATTTGCTTTTTACACGCATCAGAAACGAGAATGTCGTTATTAATTTTAAAAATATTGGCATATTGTTCATAACTTAAGATGCCGTTTACCAAAACCAATGCCAAAGAAAAGGCATATAATTTTAAAATTAACCTCATTTTGTTTTTGTAAATACTAAACTCTTTGATTTAAATGATTACAATTTATAGGTATTTTAAATTTATAATCATATCAGATAATTAATTCTATTTGACTACTTTATTTAAAAAAAAATATTTTAGCTAATCATATTTTTAAATTGGTCATGTAATTTATTATTATATAAAAACATAATTGAGTATCAATGATGAGAAGCGTTCTAAAATTAAAACTTTATTATTGTCTAAATTCTCTGCTAAAGTAATTAATTATCGCTGTAAAAATAATTTAGACCAATCTGGTTAAAGATATTACCTCCCAGTCTCTACAAAATCCGTTTGAACCAATACAAAATTCGAGTATTGTCAGATCTACCTAAACTCACTTTGTAGTTTTATGTTATAAATTTAACATTTCATTGCATCAAGAGGGGCATTGGTATTTTTAATTTTGAAAAATGTAAATACTATATAAATAATTTATATAAATAAATGAATAATTTATATAAACAATTGTATGTGCCTTTTCCATTTTTTTAAGTTTAAATTAAAATAAAATTAAATAGTTTTAATATGATTGGAGTCACTTTAATACAGTGTTTCAAGATTATATATTTTTAAAACTTAATTAGTTGTTTATAGTTTTCTTGGGAATACCTTTCTTATCTTATTTTTATTTAATTCTTTAGCAAACACAGCTGTTTTGTTGTGGTTTAAATAACTATTTAATTTGTTTATGATAAATTGATTAGTACCATTTTAAAAATAAAATTTCAAGACAATTTTTTTAGGGGCGACAGCCCTGGGCTTTCGTTGGTCCCATTGTAATTTATCCGATCAAGGTAGCGATATTTTTTTTTATATAAATCTAACATATTTTTATATTAAGGAATTAAAAATTTATTAAAGAAGTGTACTGCTGGATTTGCTTAGAATTTTTTTATGTAATTAACTACCATTAATACTATTTCATACACTTATCAAGCCTATGCAAAAGATCTTAGGGCTTTATTATTATTATTTTATTTATTAAGGTACGACTACTGCGGTTATTTACACCAGAGTTATAATAAAAGTGGACCATGGGAGCGGGAAGTTTTGAAAACGACGTAGCTGTATTTAATTAAAACAAAGTATAAAGATAAAACGATAATTGATGGGCATTTTTATTTCCTAACAATTAAACCTGTTAAATGGTCTTCACTTTTCTCTACTCACACTTGAAGCCAAACTTCAATTCTTCAAATTCTGCATAACACGACGCATCATATCCAACTGAATGTTTCCTGAATTTTCATTTTTAGTTCCAAAAAATCTCGTGCTTTGTCAATAAAAACCTTGCTTTTAAGATAACCCCATAAAGATGGTGATCTTGGGGGCCCACTCAATGTCTCCGTGTCTGGGGATAACGCGACCTGGAAACAATCTTCGCACGGAAGCCATCGATGCTCTTACGGTATGTTAAGTAGCGCCATTTTGCTTAAACTAGCTATTGTTCTGTGTAAACATTTTCAGTTGCTGTTTTGGCTATTAAAGCCCGTTTCATATAGATACGAAATGCGAATATTCGCAAGCCCTATATGCGAAATTATCGTAACTATTTTATGGACATTATTTTCTCAGTAGGAGATGTTTGCCATACGATTTTATAAAATCGTATGGCATATAGGGACATTATTTTCTCACTAGGTGATAATTGACGTGAATAACCTAACATTTTCTATTCGTTTTTATATGAAGTGGTGTATTATTTTTTTGTATTATGACTGAACAATTATACCATTGGCGACGAAGGCGTGCAATTGCCGCTTATTTTTTCTTAAAAAGAAGAAAAAAAATAACCTGTGAAATATTTAAATTAAGGAAGGAATAAAGTGCATATCATAATTTAGTGCAGGAAATGCGTCTTAAAGATGAAAAAAATTATCATAGAATGTCTGTTGAAGATTTTGATAAAATGGTGAAAAAAGATTTACTTTTTTACTACCAGGGAAAATGTTGTACACTAGGTTCATAGAAAAAAAACGTCCACTAGTACAACTTCTCTTCCTATATTTCAGATATTTGGCATTAGGACTAAGCACTGTTTCTACCAGTGGCGACTCGTTAGGGTAGGCCTCTGAGGCCGCGCCTCACCCTTAAAATGAAGGAACGGACGACTTTTTGTATTTAGATTTTTGCCTATTACAAGTGAATTTTTACAACAGTTCTACCCAATAAAAAGTAAAAAACCAATCAATCATACTAAGCGTAAATAAAAATCCAGGCGCAAAGCGCGTCAAGGTAACGTGTATCGTTGAGAGTCGCTAGGACAGAGGCGAAATTTTCACAGCCTCGGAAGCTCTAGAAAGCGAAAATGACTCACCAACAAAAATATCGCCGGAAGTTCGCGAATAAATACCGTAGATTTAGTCGTAGATGAGGCGAAATTTAGTTAGCTTGGCTTGTTTTGATTGGTGGTTTTATCACATGACCGATGATCGCTTGTCCGCCTATGGTGGGATGCCAGTGTTCTCTTAGCGTTTGTAGAGCACGTTATTGTTTTAAATCAGATTAAATTATTTAAAACTTTTGGCTGATCTTTTATAGTTTTTGTCTCGATTAGTAAAATTTCTTATTTAATTATTGTGGGAAACACACTAAGGTAGATTTAGCAGTTTTTATTAAGCAAATTTTATATTTTGAAATAATAGATTGCATAATTCTTCAGTTAGAGACGCGGTTTGAAAATTTAAATAACATACGTTTACTTGCTTTAGTTGATAGCACAAAATATTCAAATATTTTTGACAAAGATAGGCTAAAAAATGAGCTTCCTTTTATATAGAGATGAACAATTTTTAAATTTAAGTGTTGAAAAAAGTTTAGATATGTTTTTTAAAAATTTCAAGACAATTTTTGTGGAAGCATATAAGCTTTTTAATTTAGTTTTAACTATCTCTGCAACAAGTGTATCTGCCGAACGAAACTTTTCATGTCTTAAACGAATTAAAACCATTGACTACTTCTTCACTCAACGTTAAAACCTACCTTAGGAACACAATGACGCAAGAACGACTTTCAAGCTTAGCAACGATGTCAATATAACAAAAATTACTTTCAAATCCCACTGCAGACCCACAATTTTAAGACCAAATAATATATTATTATTATCTATAGATAAATTTGCAAACTTAAAAGATAGACGTATAGAATTAATTTACAAAAAGTAGCTGTGGTATTTTATATTTTTTAATACTTAGGTAGGGGTCGACTTTTTAGTTTTATTTTTTGATTAATTTATTTATTTTTAACTTTTTTAAGAATATATTTTTAAGTTTTAAGATTAAAACGCGTCGCAGAATAATACCTCCCGGGTGACGTGAAATAATTTCAATGAAATTTATTCGTATTTAGACAAAATGAACCTTATGTAGCCTCACCCTCCTGTACATCCACGAGCCGCCACTGGTTTCAAATATTATTAAAAGCACATTCTCTGCTATTTGGAAAGCTAAATATAAAATTTAAAACTTTTATTTGGGAGTGTATTAAACAGGGATAGCCTAGAATATTTTTAGCCCCATCTTTTTTTTGTGCAAATAGTGGGCCTTAAAAAATTTAAATATAGCATTTTCTGCGTAAAAAAGGTAATCCATTAAAATTTAAATTAAAATTTTCGAATAAATATAAAATAACCAATATTTTTTTTTTACTATTTAACCAGAAATATTAATAAAAAAACACATATGTGTCGTGAAAATTCATTATATTTTCTAAAACCGTTTCGGAAATAATAATAAAAAACATCTTCAGGGGCTATGTTCATATACCATTTTCTTTCCATTTTTGGTCCTTCAAATCAATTGTAGAGTATTGCACACTATTTTCGAGACGCCCTGTATAAATACATATATGTATTTAATTAGTTTTATTTTACATTAGGTTTTAGGCACCTCAACATTCTGGTTTAGATTTTTTTAATTATAAGGAATTCTTTAGCATTATATTGCTATAGTTGCCGCGCGCGGCGAATGTTTCAAATTGCGTCATCAAATTCTGAACCAAGCACAGACATAACAATTATTGTTGTTTTCTTTTACGTATATAATCCAAGGAACCGCTAGGTTAACCGTATGTCGAGAAATCGATTTTTGACATTGATGACGCAATTTGAAACATTCGCCGCGACGACTATAGCACTTTGTGATGCAAATTATCTTTTCACTGTGGTTAACATTGGTGCAAAAGGGAGACAAAGTGATCGAGGAGTTTTTCGCAACAGTTATTTTGAAAAACAATTTTTCTCAAACTTAATTAATTTACCTGCTTTAAAAAAAACTCGCAGATGATCAAGAACCAACTCCATAATGTTTTGTTGGTGATGCAGCATTTCCCTTTGGAGTTAATTTAATGCGACAACAAAATGAAAAAAAAATTCAATTATACGTATGAATAGCCTAAATATTTTGTCAAGTATTTTTTATTATACAAAAAAGTGCTCTTTTAGTTCCACCCTTACTTCTTAAGAAGTCCCATAAGCCAACTGAATGGCTTGTGCGGGTTAGGGGTAGGAACGGACCGCGGGCTTAAAGTCCCCTCCGAAGGACTATTTTGGACTATTGGTATGTTTAGATTAAGTCGTGTAAGAATAACAATTGAAACTAGATTTCGCATTCTTGTTGCTAGATGGAGAACATTAGAAAAACCAACTATTGCAAAGCTTGAAACAATTGAAAAAATGATAAAAGCACTTCTATGTCTGCATAAATTTTTAAGGAAATCAGACTCACATAATGTTGACAGCAACAGGTACTGTCCTTATAATTTTGTAGATAAATAAACAGAAAAGGGAGAACTTATTGAGGGAGAACGGAGGAATTTAGTCCTTAATGGATTACCTAATGCTGGAAGAATGGGTGGAAATGCGTATTTCCAAGGAGCAAGTGCTATGCGCAATTAATTGACTGATTATTGTCCATGTGGATCCAATTGCACAATTTTAAAAATAAGCTGTACTACTTTGTAATGTTATTTTTTAATATGCAGAATTA